CAAAAGTTTGTTTTCACAAACTATTCTAATTGTGTCTATATGTATTTTTTAAATCACTCATTACCCTTTGTTCTTCAGGTCATACCAAAACTTAAGCAATTGTTCGTTCCTAGAAACTTGTAATACAGGAAATCTACACTCATACCTTTAAAAATATTCTTCATGACAATTTAAATATAGGCAAAATATGTGAAAATGAATCAATGCGATGTACATAACATGTCATTTTAACAGCCTCATCATTGGCTTGTACAGGAATTGACAGCAGTAGGTGAACTTATAACTCCCAGGACATCTTTGTTTGCCTAACATTTTACTGACTAACTATGTCACTGGGGCTTTGTAACTTAGCTCCTCAGCCTTAAGCAAGCAACAGCTAGAAAACTGAAACTGTGAAGTTGTTCAGTTTTTCATTTTTGGGCAACAGGATAATGAATATAATTCTTTCTGTGTAAACATTTTACCAAACATGTAGAGATATGCTATCTTCTTGAGTTACTGTAGAGAAATGTGAGATGGCCCTCATTAGAGCAATGAGCCATTAAACTATGAACTTAAGCTGGGAAGAAAGCATAGCTAAGTGTTGTCAACATTGGGTTATTTTTATATGGGTTAAGAAATGAAATAATAATAATAATAAACAAAGCTGCTTCACTGAACAGCTCATGGTAGAGCTCACATGGTTAACCTGAGGAAGCAGCCTCCATCCCATGCCCTTCTTTCTTCCATTATTCCAAGTTCTGTTACAATAGTTGTGCTTTTCATCCTTCCAGGCAGGTTTTCCCCCTGGAGTGGTGAATATTGTCCCTGGCTATGGGCCCACCGCAGGGGCAGCCATCTCCTCCCACATGGATATTGACAAGGTGGCCTTCACAGGATCGACAGAGGTAATGCTACTCACTCAGGCGGGCCAGTAATAAAGGGCACGTCTAATAACTCTGAGGATATTTTTTGGAGGGGTCTGTAAACATTTATCAATTTTTGTGTGAAACACTTAATACAGTTTGAACTCCAGGACTCTATACTTAGTCTGAGGATATTTTTGTAACAATTTTAAAGCCAACACTTCCTTAAAACTGAAGTTCACTTTAATGAGATGTCCCTTATTCTAGCTTCCAATTTGTTTATACAGCACAAGCAGTTGTAGTTTAGATGAAATAAGATATTGATTACAAACCTCACAGAACAGAGCTATTATAAGTGTATTCTTTACCTTCTCTTATAAGTAATAGAGATGCTGTTTCTTATTATTTCTAGAGTTTATAGCAGAAAATGTAAATTAGGTCATGTGATTTGTGTGAATGAATACAGTTGTACCCTGTAGATTATGAAAATTAAGGATCGCCTGCAAACAGGTGCTGGGGCCGGGAGTTCAATCCCTGAGCCTGCCCTGCTATCCCCCTCCCCCTGGCCCTGCCCTGGCACACTGAGATGGCAGGTGAGACTATGCATGGTGGTGCATGTCTATAATCCCAGCTCTTGGGAGGCTGTAAACAGGCAATCATTATGAGTCCGATCTAGTAGTGAGACCCTGAATACCTTGTAAACCCTTCCGTAAAATACAAAAAAAAAAAAAAAAGAAAGAAAGAAAGAACAAAAATAAAAATTAAGGAGCAGTAGCACCTCACTCTGAGTTCCTTAGTTTTGACTTTCTTCCCCATGCCTTCTGCAAGGGAGCCAGAAGCTTAATTTCCCTTGATGTTACCAATGGTCTTACCCAGTGTTTGATGCTGACTTTGGCCTGGAAAAAAATTTAAAATAGTAATATTATTTCCTTGAGCATGTCAGAGAAAAGCAGTGTGAAAGGTAGATATGGGGAGATTGAATGGTTTTTCTATAAGCAAAACAAATGGAAGAAATCATACTATGTCAAGCCAAAAAAAGGTCTTGAGTTCTTCTCTTCGGTTATGACTATGTTAGATGTTCAACACAAGTAATGTATGTTTCTTGCTGGTATACAGCCTAAAGGATAAAGATAGAGTGAGATTTCCTCTTATAAAGCTGCTGACATAAGTACAAGCAAGACTTGTAATAGGTGGTAAAATATGTATAAAGTGCTGTAAAGGATTCATGAGAAACAATACTGATCTCCAGATGACTATTAGAACTTTCTCTGGAATTGGAGGAATGCTTACATGTTAAGGCCTGATGACTGAGAAGTAAAAAGAACACTTTATAAGGCTGTCCAAACTATAATGAACAAATCGGTAGCCCTTTTATGTCATAACAGAAAATGTAAACAGAAACGGTTTTGTTATTCATGCCCAGTAACTATATACACTTTATATGTGTCTGGAGACAATTCTTCTTCCCTCAGTGGGGCTCAGCCCAGCAAAATATTGGGTACCAAGAAGCCTAGGGTGAAATGAAGGTATTTTGATTATTTTATAACTCTAGCAAGCCACGCTAATGTAGTTTTAAATTTTGTTTGCATAAAAACCTGGAATGGGATGTTAAATTGTATTGTATTGTATTTTCTAAAGTGAGATAAATACACATTTTTCTGTGTGTTTCATAGAGGTAAAGGGTAGAAAAACTTACATTCTTCCAATCCCTAAGAGATGGGAAGGCCAAGCAGCCTTCAGGATTTTCTGTGCAAAGCTGAGAATGCACAAGATGTGGCCATAACTCTTAAAATGACTGAAATTATAGCAGGGAAGGTACCGGAAGGAAAGCATGTGCTCCCCAGCCTGGGCTTGTAAGCTTTCCCGAGTGGAAACCCAGGTACACTTCCGGGTCACTCCCAACTGTCTCCTGACAGGGCAGGCAGTCTGTCTGCTGCCCCGCCTGCCCTGCCTGCCCCGCCTGCCCCGTCCCCTGCCCCCTGCCTCCAGCATTACTACCTGATAGACCTGCTCAACCCCAAGCTCCTAAGCATTTCTGAACCCTTACACATAGAAAAGAGACCTTTAACTCCAAAGGTAGGAAACTGTGGTAGTCACATTGTGGTGCTACCCCTCCTGGTTGTGTTTCTCATAAATGTTAAATATTCTCTTTAAACTTGCAATTGTGCTTTACGAGTCAAGGAAAATCTTCTTAATCACCTTAAATGAAAGTTCAGGTATGGGACTGGCTAGATGGCTTAGCGGACTAAGTGCCTGCTTTGTCAAGCCCAGGGACCAGGTTTCGATCCCTGGTTCTGCATGCTGTGCCAGTCCCACCCCCAGGGCATCCTGAGCTGGCCACGAAGTCTAGGGCTATAATCCCAGCTTTAGGTAGGCTTCAATCGGGAGGATCACTGCGAGTCTGAGCTGCACAGTGAGACCCTGTGCTAAGTACATAAATGAAAGAAAAAAAGAAAGAAACTTTAGGTTCCAAATGGTCATGTGAAATAGGTTGTGAAAGAAAAATAAACTGTAAGAGAAATTTCAGAGTTACCTAATACAGGTTTATTTTAGTTTAACTTTATTAATCTTCTTTTAGAGGTTTAACTTTATTCTTCCTTTAGTTTAATTTTATTAATCTTGTTTTTCAGCCCCCTGAAACTATTTTAGCAGATTAATGGTCAGTTCTATAAAGCAAAGCACAAGTTCACTAACACATAAAATGTTAATGTATACTTTATTTTATCATTTTCATTTTTTAGTTTTATTTTATTCTTTTTGTGCATGTGTCTTTAGGACAAGGTCCACAGAGTCTACTGTGTCTCACTGCATAGATCAAACTCTTAATGATCTTCCTGTTTACATCCTCCTAAGTGCTGGGATTACAGGTGTGTGCCACCACGCCAGTCTCAATTGCCATCTCAGAGTGCCCCGGGGGCAGGGCCAGCGGGAAAGGCCCGGGAATCAAACACCCAGACCTAAACATGTGTTTTAATCTGCTGTGCTATTTGTCTGGCTATATATATATGGAAGAGTCTATAGGGTGTTCAGGGTCTCACTAATAGATCTGACTCATAGTGATCCACCTGTTTACAGCCTCGGAAGAGCTGGGACTACAGGCGCATGCTACCATGCCACCATGCAAAGTCTCAACTGCTGTCTCAGAGCATCTTGGGGTTTGTTTTTGTATATTATAAAAGGGGAACTTTTTATTAAAATCTGACACAAGGATTTGGAAATGAAATCCAAGTAGTAAAAGAAGCAAAATGATATCATATAAAAGAAAAAGGTAAAGATCATTTTAGAGAATCAAGATGTCAGTAAAATAAATATATATAAATAAATAAATAAGGTTTTATACTTAAAAAAGCAAAGCACCTATAGCAAATAATCTGGATGGGGCATGATCTATAAAGAAGAAAAAGCAAGTAAAACCAACTGTCTTTGTCTGAGAAGAGATAAGTGGCATTCCAGAAGAAAACAGAACACCAATCTCAAGCTATGTGAAGTAGTATGGTAGAGCACCAATGCACCAATATAATTTCTTTCTTCTAACATCACTCTCCAAGGGCATGTGTAGTGAAGCAAAGCAGGAAGTATGAGGGATGAAAAGAAAGGAGAGAGGGAAGAGGGGCGGGAAAGAGAGAGAGAGGTGGGGGAGAGAGAGAATCATTAAGAGAATAGTTAAATGAGACTACCATGATAAACTGCTGGGGAAAGAAATGCAGTGATAGGACTTTACCCTGGCCACAAAGGCATGAACAATCTCCTTAGCAAATTTATGCAAATGTATATGCATACAACTAATACAATATGAAGCAAACTCTGAAAACTTCTTCACATAGTTCACTGGGAGACCAAAAAAGGAACAGATTATGTCTATCCAGAGTCATAAAGGAAGGATTCTAGGGGCAGGCCTATAGCTCAGTGGCACAGTGCCTGCCTGGCAAGTATAAGGTCATGAGTTCAGTTCTAGGAAGAGCCAAAATCTGAGCTGAACCTCACTAAATGCATGACTAGATGAGATCACATTGGGGATGAGTACACGAAAAGAGGAAAGATGGGGTTCAAAATGTGGAGAATATGCCATTGGCTGGATAGAGCTCTACAAATGCTGGAAGAGGCACATGAGAAACTTAAGGGGCATTACAGTGCCCTGCTCCATCTCGAGGTGAAGTTCCAGTGAAAATGGAAAGGAAATCATACCTGATCACATACATCAAGACCACTATCATGTTCTATGTCTCTGCTGTGTTGCCCGTGAACATTTTTCTGATTTGTGTTTGTGTCTACAGACTCATGTGGAGGACCTTTTAGAATCTCAAGGTGCTGTTTATGGAAAAAATGAGTCAGTGTTTCTTTCAAATAAAATTTAATAAGGCCACAAACCTCATCAAATGTAGAATGTTAAACCTGCCTCATGAGCACATAGTAAGGCTTCCCCTTGGCAACACTGCATTTCAGGTTGGCAAAATAATCAAAGCAGCCGCTGGGAACAGCAACCTGAAGAGGGTCACCCTGGAGCTGGGAGGGAAGAGCCCCTGCATCGTGTTTGCAGATGCCGACCGTGAGTACAGCCGCCTCTGCGCAGCCCACTCCCGCATCCTTTCTGGTGTCTGACAGTGCCAGACAGGGAGCTTGAACTGCACAAACACATTTTCTTCAAAATGAAAGGAACTCATCTGAGTCCAGAATCACTCTCAAAATATTTTACAATTGTCCTAAAAATTGAACACACACAAAAATTAACCATAGACACACTTTCTTCTTGGCTTGAAGTAGATTGCTTTTTCTTCCGATGAACCTTGAATAGGTAAATATTTTGCATGCATGAGTCCTGCAGGACCCACATTATTTTAATAATTACAAATGTTCACAAAATGGCATGATGCTAAGCATAGTAAGATACATCACGTATGTTAGACCAAAAACAACTGAGGAGACAACAATTTGGCATTTGGCATCTCCTTTACTCTGGGTCAAACACTCATTAATTGAAATAGAAGAGAATTAAATCTGGTTAGACTGTTTCTTTTTGCTCCTATCAAGGATAACTGAGTTTACATATATTAAGTAGGCAATTATGACATGACCTCACTATATAATGTCCTAATTCTGGTTATATTATGAAATAGAACCCCTAATTAATCCTAAGGAAGAGTTAATTAGCAAGAGTAGGTGGTCATTCTTCTAATTCTGCCTTTAACTTTTGCATTATTGGTGGGAACAAATGGCTCATGGCTTTCATTGCTTTATGAACTTAACAGAAGTTTTACTGTGCATCACTTTATGAAACATTGTACAAAAATGACAATATTCCAAATATTTCAAGCCTGTCAGTCAACTGCTTCTGATAAAACTAAATTTTATGCACAGGTCACAAATTCACACCTACTCTTTTAATGGCAAATTGAATCTTCAACATTTAGAAAATTGAGTTGTAAAAACAAACGATTCTTCTTGTTAAAGATCTACTAGCAAAAGAACCTAGACCTCAGGTGCTACATAGATAGATAGGGACAAGTATGTATGAAATAACGGATACACTTTTCGACAGATTTGAAAAATGTTTTTCTAGACAAGATTTTAAGGTAAGTAATTCTATCAGTGGATTTTGATTGGATTTCTTTTTATTGTTATTATTACTCCAGTAGTGATTTTTTCAGAAAGACAAATATATATTATTGATCAATATGTTTAAGAGTGATTCGAAATGAAGGCAATGGACTCTTTAGTTTTTCTTTATTTAGTTTCAAGCTAACATTGAAAAGAAATATACATAAGAATCTATTTATAAATGGAGATATTAACTCAAAATATTTGCAATGGTATTTTATCTTGAGATGAAATCAACATTCTTAGTTATATCCACATTATATTATATCAGTAAATATCATCTGTCCAGATGGTACTATTTATTATCATTGTTTTCATAGCAAAAAAAAGATCACCAGATTAATTTATCATGTGAATTTTAATCCACAAGTTATGCAGAACCTCAGCATTTTCTACATCCCTATATTGCCTCTGAGAACTATATATAAATTTCATGCTCTTTAGATAATATTTCCTTTTAATGTGATTTTTTGCAGTGGACAGTGCTGTAGAATTGGCACACATGGGCCTGTTCTTCCACCAGGGGCAATGTTGTATAGCTGCGTCCAGGCTTTTTGTAGAAGAATCAATTTATGATGAATTTGTGCGGAGGAGTGTAGAGCGGGCAAAGAAATATACTCCTGGAAATCCTATGAGCCCAGGCACAAATCATGGCCCTCAGGTGAGAACACAATGGAAAGAATAGCATGTCAGGTAACAAGAATCAGGTACCCTTTTTTTCACTAAAAAAACTCATTTCACATTTTTTCAAGTTTTTTCTTTCTTCTTTCTTTCTTTCTTTCTTTCTTTTTTTCTTTCTTTCTTTCTTTCTTTCTTTCTTTCTTTCTTTCTTTCTTTCTTTCTTTCTTTCTTTCTTTTTTCTTTTGTTTCAGGATAGAACTCAGGAACTTGTGCCTGCAGGCAAACCCGACAGGCAAGCATTTATTTTTCTGAACTAACTCCATAGCAGTGCAGCAGCTTCTTCTTTCTTTCTTTCTTTTTTCATAATTTTATTGAGAAACAAATAGCAATGAGACAGTTTCAAATCAAACTGGTAGGACACTTTCAATAATTAACACACTGCATATATTCTTCCTAGTGGTTAATTGCTGTACAAGATGCGGACATGATATCCTATTTAAAAACACCATTAGAACAAATCACTCTATTCATTAAGAGAATGTA